TGTATCAAATTTAACGAGAGAAATTTTAATGATGCAAGGAGATGGTGATAAATCACGTGTCGAACTTTTTATTTCAAAATATGGTAACATATCTGAACAAGTTAAAGGTGCTTTGGAAAGTTTAGGTAATATTTAAATTTATCAATTCTATATCATTATTTTGATAATATATAATAAATTTTTAATTTATATATTTTAGAACATGCAAAAATACCAATTGATGTTAGACCTTTATACGAAATCGAAAGGGATATTAAACAAATTATCGATAAATTGTAAATCAACACGAATTTATTTTATATTTTATTAATAAATGCAAAATACGCAAATGATTGATTTAAATATATATATTATATATATATTTATATTTTTTTTTTAATTTTTTATTTTCATTTATAAAATGAATATATTATATTTTATATAAAACTCCATACTATGCGCATTTTTTTTTTCTTTTAATTTTTAAACAATCAAACTAAATAAACTATTACTAATTATTTTCTAGTTATTAATACGGGTTGCTTTGATAAACAGAGTATGATGATGATATAAAAGAGTTTATAGTAGTAGTTATATATATTGGGGGGTTTTTTGGTTTTTTTTTTGTTTATTTTTTTTTGATATAGAAATGTTAATCTTGAGCAGTGAAAGCTGGTTTTTAACGTAAATTAATCGACTTCTTCAATTGTTGGTCCGCTTTCTTCAGTGGCTCCAGTTGCGCCAGGTGCACCACCTGGGAAACCACCTGGTGGGAACCCTCCAGCGCCTGGTGGAGCACCGCCTGCGCCACCATAAAGCTTCATCATTATCGGGTTGGCAATCTCTTCAAGTGATTTTTGTTTATGATCATATTCTTCCTTCTCTGCCTCTTGATTATTGTCAAGCCATGTAATTGCTTCTTGGATAGCATCTTCAAGCTTCTTCTTGTCTGCTTGATCAAGTTTGCCAGCAATTTTCTCGTCCTATTGTTAAAAGGATGAATTTGAAATTTAATAAAAAATCATTTATTGTGACAAAAATAATATTAAAAATCAAAGCTTACTTGAAGTGTGTTTCGTAAGTTATATGCATAACTTTCCAACCCATTTCGTGCCGTAATCTTTTGTGCAACTTTCTCGTCGTCTTCACGATATTTCTCGGCTTCGTTAACTATTAATAATAAATATAAAGTTGCGTTAATAAAAATTACATTGCACTAATATAAATTCACAACCAAAAGTATAAAATCCTGATTTTGATTACATACCCATACGTTCGATTTCTTCCTTTGACAATCGACCCTTGTCATTCGTGATGGTTATCTTATTTGATCTTCCAGTTGTCTTATCAACAGCAGATACCTAGAGACAATTAAAATTAAAAATGGGTAAATAAAAAATTCTTCAAAAATGAAAAATAATAAAAATACGAGTCTCTGAATACATACGTTTAAGATACCATTTGCATCAATATCAAAGACGACCTCTATTTGTGGAACACCTCTTGGTGCTGGAGGAATTCCAGTCAATTCGAATTTTCCAAGTAAATTATTATCTTTTGTTCGAGCCCGTTCTCCCTCATAGACTTGAATAAGTACTCCGGGTTGATTATCAGAATATGTAGAGAAAATTTCGGATTTCTTAGTAGGTACCGTGGTATTACGTTTTATAAGAGGCGTCATAACACCTCCAGCAGTTTCAATACCGAGAGATAAGGCAGCGACATCGAGTAAAAGTAAATCTTGAGTCTTTTCAGAAGTATCACCAGTTAAAATAGCAGCTTGAACGGCAGCACCATAAGCAACGGCTTCATCAGGATTGATGGATTTGTTTGGTTCTTTACCATTGAAGAACTCGGAAACCATCTTTTGAATCTTGGGAATACGTGTTGAACCACCGACTAAAACAATTTCATGAACTTGACTTTTGTCGATTTTAGAATCTCGTAATACTTTTTCAACGGGTTCCATTGTAGATCTGAACAAGTCTTGATTCAATTCCTCAAATCTAGCACGGGTCAAAGATGTATAGAAATCGATACCTTCGAAGAGGGAATCGATTTCAATGTTAGTTTGTGCGGATGCGGAAAGTGCACGTTTTGCCCGTTCACAAGCAGTTCGTAATCGACGGAGAGCACGTGCATTTGACGCAAGATCTTTCTTGTATTTACGCTTGAATTCTTGTACAAAGTGATTTACAAGTCGATTGTCGAAATCTTCACCACCAAGATGTGTGTCACCAGCAGTGGCCTTAACTTCAAAGATTCCTTCTTCAATCGTTAAGAGAGAAACATCAAAAGTACCACCACCCAAATCAAAGATAAGAACGTTACGTTCACCAACGGCCTTCTTATCCAATCCATAAGCAATAGCTGCTGCGGTTGGTTCATTAATTATACGAAGAACGTTCAAACCGGCGATCATTCCGGCATCTTTTGTGGCTTGACGTTGGGAGTCATTGAAGTATGCTGGAACCGTAATTACTGCATTGTTGACTTTTGTTCCGAGGAAAGCCTCTGCGGTTTCTTTCATCTTTATCAATACCATGGAAGATATTTCTTCTGGTGTGAAATCTTTATTTTCTCCTTTAAATTCGACTCGAATATATGGTTTTCCACTCTTGTCCATGACTTTAAAGGGCCAGTGCTAAAAAAAATTGTTAAATTTATGTCAATAGTCAGTATTTAAATTACATGATCTTAAATATCTTAAATTATATAGATGAATACATACTTTCATATCGGATTGAACTTCTTGGTCACTAAAATTACGACCGATGAGACGCTTAGCGTCAAACACGGTGTTATAAGGATTCATAGCAACCTGATTTTTTGCTGCGTCACCAATAAGACGTTCTGTATCGGTGAAAGCAACGTATGAAGGTGTCGTTCGATTACCTTGGTCATTAGCAATAATTTCAACTCTGTCGTTTTGCCAAACACCGACACAGGAATATGTTGTTCCCAAATCAATACCAACTAAAATTTATCAATTTCAAAAAAAAAATTTTTTTTTTCGTTACTTATTATGTTTCATGTCCAAAAGAAAATAAAAAAATGTTCTTGAATATACATACCAGCTTTCCCAGGTGCTGGTACCTTTGCACCTTCTTCTTTTGGTGTAGCCATTATGATATTTGTATAGTGTTATAAACAACTATATAAAGGTGGGGGTTTTTCGCTCGTAAAAACTTGTAAAACGATTTCAAGGGTAAATAAAGAAAGGTTTTTTCAAATATACAAAAAAAAAAAAAAAATATATATTTTTTTTGTTTTGAAATGTTTGAAGGAAGCTTAATCCTTGCTTTTTATATCATAAGAAAAATGGGGCTTCACCCTTTACGAATTTCTTTCCAGCAAGTTCGATACGACATCATCTCATAACTTTTTCACACTCTGTGTAATTTTTATATGTTCATCAAAAATTTTTAGACTATTTTTTTTTTTTTAATAATACGCCAAAATTACATTGAGGTGTGGTAAATATTGTTACGCATTATTTACTATATTAATATTCCTATCCAGTATGTTCTACTCGATTCTATCATTTTCTTGTCTAAAATAGTTTGTGAGATTGTGACGTAGCATGGAACATTTTAGAAGGTTTCTTGAATAGGAACGGTATATAGGTCCCTGTACTCAAATTTTGATTGGAAAAAACGGAGGACTAACAAATATTAACAGTCCATTTCCGGTCGATCGGATCTTTGGGTACAACTAATTTTGGTAATATAACGATCCAAATATCGCGTAAATTGTTTTTCCGGCAAAAAGCGACCTAATATAATTAGATTTTATTTTTATTTTTTAATAAACTGTTTATCTAATATTAAAAGAATTAAGTTATTAAAATAATATATTTTTAATTTTTATTTGCAAAAAAATTTTATCAAAATATTTAATTGAGTTTTTATATAATATGAAAGGTTTACTAGGAAAATATAATTCTAAAAGTTTTTAATAAAATTTTGATTGTAATTACATTTTAATTTTGATGATATTTTTAGTCAGAATCACATTTTTCTAACAAAATTCCTATATATTATCAATTAATAATAATGTTAAAATTTTATAATTTAATATTTTAAAATATTAGGATTTAATATAAAACAATTTGAAATATAATCTTGAAATGTTTAGAATATAAAATATATATATTATTATAACTATTATTTTTACTGATGATATAATTTAAAATTATTTATAATTTATAAAAAATAATTTAATTTTTATTTATTAAAATTATCCTTTATATATATTTTGAAAATATTAAATGATTAGTATAGAATTATTTTATTAAAGATGAAACTAGAAAATTATGCAATTCATTTAATATTTGTATATTATGATAAAAAGTAGAATTTTAGATATAATAATATATTTAACATTATAATATGGGAGATTTGCTAGGAAAATAGAATTCTGAGAATTTTTTATTAAAATTTTAATTTTTATTGCATTTTATTTTTTGATAATGTTAGATTAAAATGCAATAAAAATTAAAATTTTAATAAAAAATGCTTAGAATCCTATTTTTCTAGCAAACCTCCCATATAAATTTGTTAAATATTTAGTAAAAAAATAATATTTTAGAATTTTTACAAAAAATAATAATAATTAATTCTCTATGATATCTACTTTAAGAAATAAAAGCTTAATGAAAAGATTGCAACTAAAATTCAACTAAAGATTATATTTAAGTTATATTTAATAATTGATCCTAAATAATAAAATATTTGTAATAAAGTAATAATCAGATTTTTATTTGTTGTGATTAAGATTGCTTATCTAAACTCATTTTGGATTTGGCTAAACATCTAAACCTTTAGTTTTGTTAAATTTTTACTAAGGTTTTGATTAAAGATTGAAACTGTAATTAATATATTGCAATTTTTAATGTTGCAACTTATGTTGCAATTAGTTTTAACTTATATATATTATAACTTATAATATTGCAACATGTGTTGCAACTAATTTTAGCTTATATTGCAACATTTTGTAAATTTGAAATCAATTGCTGCATCATCTTTAGTTTTGATATAATTTCACCATTTTTATAAGCTTTAATATAGTTTTACCTTTTATTAAATTTTGCAGATTTTTAAAAAGATTTTGCAAAATTGAATCAAATCAAATCAAATATTTGATCAAATTAAATTAAATCAAATCAAATCAAATCAAATATTTGATGAATCAAATCAAATCGAATCAACTAAACTGAATCAAAATGATTAAATATATATAAGACGCGGTGAAGCATTTATTTATTAAAAAACATTTTCATAATATAAATTAAAGAAAATCCAAAAAATGTGTACATAAAGTAGAAAATAAAGTAAATGCTACCTAGCCTTTGTCAAAGGCATATTGCCTTTTTCAACCAAACCAACTGGTTGTCTTATTGTATTCAATTTAAAAAAATTAATTAAATTCATATTATAAAAATTTTTTTTAGTTAAATTTTTTTATATTTTTGTTTTTATATTTAATAACATTTACACAATTAAAACTTTATATTTTTTTTTAAAAAAAAAAGCACTATTATTTCAATACCCTTTTTTATTATTATTATTAACCATTATTATTTCTCAAATTATACAAAAAATTTATATATAAAAAAAATTAAAACATATCAGACTTTAGCCAACTTTTAAGACATATTGTCACACAAATTGTATCACTTTCAAGTCTATTACATTCTGATATAATTAAATTGCTATTTTGACTAAATAATCATTATACAGGTACACTAGTAGACAGTATTAATAAATAATCATGCGTTATCATAGATAATGTTGGATAATTAATTTCATGATTTTTTCACCATTCCAATACATTTATAATTCTTAGTTCTAATGAACTATCAAGATAATTAAATAGTTCATCATCTTCATTATTATTTTGAAAACGTTTAGGAATAGGAAATAAAGAATCTTTATCATTGCTATCCTTATTATCATCAAAAACAGCAGGTATCGAAGTTGGAAAGTAAATAAAACGATACTCATCAAATTTACCTACAAATCTAATTTTAATAATTAAATTTATTTAATATTTATAATTTATCCAATTTCTATAGTAAAAATTAATTTACTTATAAATTTTTTGCTTTTCTATAAAATATATCTTCATCATTTTCTATTCAGCTTTGAAAATATTCAAGCTTTCATTATGGATCAATAATCATAAAAATGTAATGTACTGATTCAGAAGTTTTATTGTAATATTCACTAAGCTTATTCTATGCTACCTTTGCAGTTACAACTAAACATTTTAAAGATTTTCTATCCTTCATTATTTTTTCAACATGATCCATTAAATGATTATATATGGGTAAACTAAACTTATGGTAGGATAAGTCAATACACACATTTTAGTTGAAATTCTTACAAATTACTTTAAAAAAATTACAATTTCTTTAAGAGATTTCCAATCTGATTGAGTTAAGTTAATATCTCTGATGAATGAAAATTCATCAGTAAAACGATTTTATCAAAAACCTAATTATATAAAATTTTTAATTAATTATATATAAATCTTTAATAATTTAAATTTTAACTAAAATACTAATCACTTTCAAATCCAAAACGCATTTAATCATTTCATATGTAGAATTCCAATGAGTCAAAACATCTAAAATCAAAGATAGATTTTCAATACTATTAAGATTTGAAATTTCTTTGAAATTTTATTGTCGTTAAGGAGAAGAATGACATTTAATAATAATATTTCTAATTCAATCTATTTCACATTTAAGTTCTTTTTAAGCATATTGAACTGCAAAATTCAAAATATGAGCAAAATATTAAATGTGATTATTTTTAACCGAAAAAGTAATATTATTTTCTAAGTAAAATTGCAGGATAAAAGAAAGAATATTTATTTTAATAAAGAAAGTATAATACTTGGATAAATTACAGACTGAAAAGGAAGATTACATGAAATAGATAAATTTTGAAAGGAAATAATTTGCATAAATTAGTTATCAAAAGAAGATAGGTAATTAAAAGACTAAATAAAAGGTCAAGAAGACAGATAATTAATCAACTGAACGAAGAGTCTTATAGAAATAAAATATTTAAAAATATTAATTGAAGAAGTAACATAAATATGCAGAAAGATTACACAAAAAGTATAATAATTAGGAATTATAAACTAGATCACATGAGAGTTTATATAACATAACGGTTACACATAATATTATAAGAAGAACAGAAATCAGTAATAGAACAGAAGTTGTTAAGAACACGAAATTCAAAAGTAAAACAGTAATTCGTAATAATAGAAACAAAAATCAATATTAGTAAAACATTAAACAAGAAGTAGTAAAAATAATACGAAGTAGTAAAACAAAGTGAATTCAAAAGTAGAAAGTAAAATAGCAGAATTAAAATGAATAATATGTAGTAATTATTGGTTATTTATTATGTAATTTACTATGTAAATTTATTATATAAACCTTTTGAATACCTTCAAGGATCTTGTATTCAATTTTTCAATAAAAAAAAAATTTAATTTTAATAAATAAACTTTTAACACAAAATAAAAAAAAATACTTTTATTTGAAATAAAGTTATTTCTCTTGTATATAAACTTTAATTTTAAAAAGAAGTTAATGAAATAATGATAAAATAAAACTCAAAAAAAATAATGAAAATTATAATATAGACTTAATAAATATTTAAATGCGAGAAGTAATAATCAGAAATAATCATTAGAAGTAATATTTGGAAATAATATAAAAGTAATATTTGGAAGAAATAATCAGAAAGAATATTTAGAAAGATAATTCAGAAAATTATAGTATCAGTAGAAATAGTTAAAGAATACTTAAACAATAATAATATTATAAAGAAATTAGAAGATAAATTATTACTCAAAATATAGAAAAGAATTCTCGGTATTCTTAGTAATTAAAAATTAATTTGTAAAACAAATTCTCTTGATGATAAGTAACAGAAATGATCAAAAAGGTATAAGCTACATTGAAGCTTTCAAACTCAAAAATGCTATATATTTGTAAAACAAAGGTTATAGTAACTATATTAGTTAAAGATTGTTAAAATACTTGCAAAGAATACTTTTTTTTAGTTAGATCTATTTGTTTGTTATTAATGGAAATAATTCTATTATCGCACATATTTTGCTAAATTACTTTACTATAGCAAGTAAGTCAGACTTTACAAACTTAGAGAATCCCACATTTTACAGATATCTAGAATACCTTGAAATTATTTCGCTTGATTTTACGAACTTAAAGGTTTAGAGATTTAGGAAAACATAGAGAATTTATTTATTCTAAGTGACAAACTCAAAAACAAGTTAATGTAATGATTTACAATCAAATCCTAGATGATGAATATGTAGAAGAAAAAAGTAATTATATTTCAAAGTTGATTCCTTTATTTATTACTTAAATTTGTAATAAAACTGAAACTCACAATAAAATTAATTTACAACTTAAGTAAAAAGCATTCTATTTATACAAAATTAATTTGCTATAGCTAATTAGTTGCTACGTTATAAATTAACTAAATTTGTAATTATAAGTGCTAATATAATGATAATAATAATAATAAAGGTAATAATTATAATAGAAATAATAATAATAATAATAATAATTATAATGGAAATATAGGGAATTAGGAAAATCCAATGAATTATGATAATTATGTGAATCTGATAAATCCTAAAAATCTGAAGAATCCTATAAATCTAGAATTATGCAGATTTTCTAATTTATGATTGATATAAAATTAATTTTAGTAATTTCTATAGATCGTTTAATAATTCTTTGTAGATTAACTTTTTAATAGTGAATTTTTAGCTGGTAACACTGTATTTGAAAAAATAATACCTTTGATTTTATAGTCTTTATCTTAGTAAATATTAACTAGTAACTATAATTACTAATAGATTACCTACTATTCTAATCCTAATATTTAATACAGAATAACATCTATTAGTGATACCTGTTTAAACTCTTTTTTGAAAAATTGTAGTTTTGTCAAAAGATTTCATTTTTTTAATATTTTATATGAATAAATATAAAATTATTATACTTTTTAATGTATTTTAATTTAAGAAATTTAGATTAAATTAAAATAATTTTGTCATTAATATAAAACTAGTTTTGTCATTTCAATTTTGTTAATTTCATCATATTAAGAAAGGTAATTTCGTCAGATATCACTAATACCTACCCTTTTTCTAATGTATCAAAGTTGTTTAAATAATTTATTTACATTAAGATCATCACCAAATCGCTTAACCATATAAGTATTAATTACAAATTATATGTTTTCAATATCTTATTCTATTTATAATTACAAATTTATCTTTCTACTTTCATCTCAAATTAGAAAATAAAAATGAAAATTTTATTTTTTACTCTCTATCTCAAATTGGAAAAATGAAAAACTTTTTTTTATTTATATTCTGCATTATGAATTGTAGAATATCTATTTGATAAAAAAAGTTAGCATATCATATATTATTAATCGTAAAATATCTATTTGACAAAAAAATTTGCTTCTATTATATCATGCATATAAATCTAATTTATTGTAAATCAGAAGATATATATTTGAAAATTCATATAAAGTTTTATTGAATAATTATGATTTATTTAATTTTATTTTAATTCTATATAGCTTTATTAATAAAAGTAAGGAAGAAGAAATCAAGGATCTACAAGTCTAATTTTATAAATAGTAGAAAATAAAAAGAGCAAAAGTAATTTATGAAATAAAAAAATGTTTATATGAAAATAATAATTTGATTGAATGACTGAAATTATATGATAATCAAATAAAAATTATTAAAAGAAATTTATGATTTAAATTTAAAATTATATTAGCAATTATTCTCCCTTAATCCCTTATCACCAAAGTTTAAAAGTTTAGCTAATTATTTAAATCAAGAGTAAATTTTTTTTTGTAAAAGAAAATCATCAGATTTGCATTATTTGCTATTAGGCAAGCTTATTATATAAACCAAGTGAAAATAAAATTATTGATTTTATCAATCATACTCAAATTAATTTTGTTCAAATTTATTGATATTTTTTTATTAGTCTGATATAAGAATGCTATCCTAAACTATTAAAAATTAGTTTCAGTTAAATAAAACTAGTTTTGATAGTTTTGGCTATTAATTAAACTAGATTTAATATTTAACTAAACTAGTTTCAGTTATTTTAAACTACAAAATTTTAGTTTCAGATGGCAACAATAGTCTGATATTTAAATCAAATTTTTTAGTATATAATAAAAATAATAAATAATATGAGTTGAATTTTATAATATAAAAAAATTTTAGAAGTTGATAATTCTCATATTGGAATTTCCTCTTTATCAATGTGAGGTCATCTTCCTAAAAGCATATATCACTTCAAATTGATCATTATTATATATGTAAGTGGAATGGAACTCAAAACCTATCACCTTATTTCAAACCAATACTACATCATTATAACAATCAATAATAAAATAATTTATCAAAAGCTTTTTATATTAAAATTTATTACATTTTTTATTTATATTATATTAAAACTTTTATACTACATTATAAAAAGCAATTTGAAAATTTATCTGATAAAATATATCTATCTGTTAAGTTATTAATACTCAAATATTATTTAATTCAATTAAAATAATATTTATATAACTTATTCTATGACTATCATTAACCCTGATTTATATATTCTAAAAGAATACAATGGAGTAGGTATTAGAAAAAAGAATACTGTATATTGCGGGCCATAGTATCCCCCCTATGTATTGTATGCCCCCTTTTTTTACCTGAAAAAAGTTACATTTTCTATTGTTTTTATTATTTAGAAATCTAATTTTAACCAGAAATTATACATTAAACAATTTTCTGATAGTTATATAAGTCTTTAACACATTCTATTTCTGTATTTATAAAAGTTATAGACTTGATAATACAAGGTCAATCATCTGAAATTTGCAAGATACCCAGGATACTATGGCCCGCAATATACGGTACTAGCTAAGTTACAATTAATATTGTACTGGTATGATTAATACATTTGTCAATCATATTCCTAGTAGTATTAATACATACAGCTATCAGACTTTAAAATTATATCAGACCTATTGATCCATATACATGATATTCAACAATCATTTACGTTCATTTGAAGAATTTTAATAATAGTCTTAAGTAAAAATTAGTAATAAATATTATATTTATACTTAGCATTCATATATAGTAAATAAAAGTAATATATATATATATATATATATTTTCCTTATTTGAAATGAATTTATTTTATTTTTTTTTATTTAGAACAATTTTTATTTTCATTTATCAAATTAAAACTTTTTTGCATATTACAATTGTATTTATTGAAGCCGTAAATTACACCTTGAGTTATGTTAAGCAAGTTTCCTTTAGAAATTTTAAATAAGAAACTGAAGTAGCAAATAATAACTTTGCACAACAATATATTCACATTTTATTATTCAATTCCTTTGAAGCTGCAATTCTTTTAACTTTAGATCAATTTCATTTTGTTTAAGTTGCATTTTCCTATCTTCTAATGTAATTTGCGCTCTACAATTTCAAGTCTACGAGTTACTGTATCAACTTCCATTGATAAAATGATTAAAAAGTATTAAAGAGAAAAGGTTAATTTAAATGAAAAAATGGTAGGGAAAAATATTAACGTTAATGAAAAAGACTAAATCATCATAATGATTAATAGTATGATTAGCATTATTTTGTATCGTACCTATACATAATCAATCATACTTTACCGATCGAATCCTATCTATACACTCCCTAAAAAAGCATAATAACTTCCAGAAATCCACACGTCAGTTGAAATCATACCTTACAATATTATGATAACATGGATCAAATTTTTCGATCATGAATCCTCCTCAACAACTTGAATACTTTGAAATTTTAATTACAAATTAATTATATTCCAATTGCTCTTTTCAAGTATATGGATTAAATTTTATTGAAATCGTTGGTTCATAAATATCTTTATGATGTGTTTTTACACGAGTTTTTAAGATTCCGGTATATGTTGAAGTTTGATATATGTGATGTAAATTTTTTTATTATCACGTGTATAGGCCCTGTATGTACTAGGTAAAATTTGACATTGTACTATATTTGATTTTCTTTAAAAGGATTCCGAAGGTTCGAAGTTTAACTATAATCGTCAAGATTGTTATTTTGATATTGAAATAAAAAGGAACACGTAATGTATCACACGTCTGCTTTCGGCAATATGGATTACGATAATTTTGAATTTCTTGGAAATTTGATTAATCTTATTCCTAAATCATTTATCATATCAAAAGAATGTGAAATAGTTTTTTTTAATAACATTTTACGAGTATATTGCCTTTTTCCAATTCTCTCTTTTAATTATTTATGGTTTTTCAACGCAATTTATGGTAAGTATGAAATGAATAAATATATCATTGAATGTACAATACATTTATTTGGGTTTATTTATTTATTTATTTATTTTTTTTTTTTAAAAAAACTTTTCATTGACGAGAGATTTTTTTTTTTTTTTTTAAATAGGGAAGTTTCAATCAAATGATTTTACATATATAAAATTAACCCTTCCAGGAAAATTAGGATGGTTTATAATGGAATTGGCCTCACCTCTAACATTTCTTTATAGTTTCTTGGTTCCATCTCCATTAGATGATAATGATGAATTTTCGATTCCTTCTTATAACACAACACAAAAAATTCTTGCATCATTATTTTTAATTCATTATTTTAATAGGGTATTTATTTATACTTATAGAGCGCCAAATGTTGCTTCAATCCATTTAATAATATTATTAAGTGCTATTATCTTTAATGTAATTAATGGATATAGTAATGGTAGATGGATTTCAGTATTTGGTAATTATACTGAGGAAAGATATAAGGAACCTTTATTTATTTTAGGTGTGTTAATATTTTTCATTGGAATGTGGATAAATATTGAACATGATAATATTTTATTTAATTTAAGAAAGGAAAATTCTTCCAAAACTTCATCAAACGAAAAATCAATTATAGTTGATGATTTGGGGAGTAAAAGAAAAAAATATTACATTCCAAATGGAGGTTTATTTAATTATGTTTGTTGTCCAAATTATCTTGGCGAAATAATCGAATGGATTGGTTTTGCAATTGCTTGTTGGTATAGTTTACCGGCAATATTATTTGCTATTATGACACCTGCCAATTTATTTCCAAGAGCAAAGAATACTTTTAAATGGTATAAAGTAACATTCAAAGAATACCCAAAAGATCGAAAGGTTATTATTCCTTTTATTTGGTAATTTCAGTCATTATTTTGAATTGATTTATTTATTACATTAAAATATATAAATTCTACAACATTTTTATTTAATGAATACATTATTGTATTTTTTATTTATTTTATATATATATATTTTTTTGAGATCATGTTTGAATAGATCTATTAATATTAAATTCTGAATAATAAATAAGTACCTAATAAATAGGTTAAATCGTCTTGCCTTACCGAATAAGACACCGCCTAATCATTGAATCCAAATACTTTCAAACCAATATAATTTTTTTGGTCTTGAATTCCTTCTTCATCACCAGCAAATGCCAACAGATAACCTTTCGGGTGCCATGCAACGGAATTGGTGGCAGCCATTGTTTTAATCCTGTAAACAGTCTTACCCGTCTCCACATTAGACTATATAATATATAATATATTCAATGAATGATGGATATATTTAATCAAAAATAATGAAACAAGGATTATAAAACTTACAACGATAATATGTTCATCTTCGGAAGCTGCCGCTAAATAAACTCCATCATAAGTAAAACTAATTGTCCGTACTGGAAATCTATTAATTTTTTTCGTTAAAAATTATCTAATTTGCATAAGGTAAAAATTTAAAACCGGTTGACTTACTCTAATTCTTTAAATGATCTTAGACAAACACATTCTTCTAGATCCCACAATGTAACCAGAGCATCTGCTCCTCCTGCAGCTACATATCTTATATGCATACGGGATATAATTATCTAAAGCATTAAAACACATCAAATATAACATTAAAATTATAATTAACTTACCGTCTCTTTGGATCAAAATCAATACAATAACAATTTGCAGTATGACCTCTCAGTACATGAACTGGCTGCAATGAAGGCCATTTCAATATTTTAATAGCCCCAGAACCAGTTGTTAAAAAGAACAATGAACAATCATGATTCCAGCTAATTTCATTAATCTATTATAAAAAAGAAGATAATTGTGAATAAATAATTAATCGAAAAAAAAGAGTTATAAATCGAATAATAATATAAAAAAAGGCTATTATACAACCTCATCTCTTACATCATCACCTTCCGCATAGGTTTTAACTATAACAGGTGACGGCTTATGCCTCGGATCGATAAATGAAATTTTATCATCCTTTATTTAAATTTTTAAATAAAGTTAGTAAGAACGATTTTGAATGAAAGTGATAACATTGTACGCTATGTAATTCTGAAATTATGAATATCATTACGCATAATCCTACAAAAAAAAATGTCTCAATCTAAACTAATAACCAACCTTATCACCAACTGCAACCATCGAGCCATCCCAGCTCCAGCTGATATTTATATTCTCTCCGTCTGTTTTCACGACATGGGTACATCGCTTTACATCTATACGATAAAAATTAATGATGTAGTAAAAATCATAATCGAATGAGTGAGTGACCATAATAAAAATATATGTATCAACAAACCTCGTGTATCCCAGAATCTAACTGTTTTATCAGTCGAAGCTGTCGCTAGTTCGTTTGGCGATTGAGGACTCCAACAAAGTTGATCCACACTTTCTTCGTGACCGAGTAACTTGATGGAATATTTTATGTCTTCCTATAAAATATAATATGAAATATTATTAGCAAAATAACAATAACATCATGAATATAATAATCAAAATGAATATGAATAAGTTTTATTACTTGATCCGCTTCCCATAACCGAACAGTTTTATCAACAGAACCGCTTGCAAGTTTTCGACCGTCGCAATTCCAAGCTACCGTTCGTACTGTCTTTATATGGCCATTTAGGAGTTTGGTTCTACATTTTGCGAAATATTCTTCTGGCTTTTATTATTTATATAGCCATATATGAGTAGAGATTTCTCGTGTTCAGATTTATTATATTTTATTTGTGGTTGTTGGAATAAAACCAAAACGGCGAGCCAAAGGACGAAACATATCCTGTCCAGAATTTCTTACAGATTCGTTTCCCGAGGGACCATGCGGTACTGGTTTTCTTGGTCCTTTCTTCGACACAGAATGTTGTGGATGTGGTGCCATGGAATTATTATTACTATTACTATTATAGTAACTAAAAAGTGAATTCCCATAAACCATTTTGAAGATTGAAAGGCCCTTTCAGGTTCGATACTTAATAATTTTATATTAGGCTTGCCCGCTTGTAGATCAATTAGTATTATGAGCTATAGGATCTGCCAAGTTGAGGCTGATCGATATAACGATAATGGGCTTTATTTTTTTTAATAAAACTATTTCAAACAATTAGAAATATTTCTACATTTACTAAATATAGAAATACAAGAAATGATGCG